TCAACAGCCCAATGCCTCCTGGCTCTTGAGCTCTGTCAACAAACAGAAAATGTGTTCTGAGCCCCATGCTGACGAGCCTACTCCAAGTCTTTCCAGTGATGGAGATGCATTTCTCAAGCTCACAGTCAAGGAGAGGTCTGGCCATGGAGCCCTGGGCCCAGCGTGGAGGCACTGGGGGAAGCTGTACTGGATGGTGCAGTTGGTGGCTTTGCCTGGGCAGCTACACAAGAGTCTTGGGTCAAGACACAGTACGTTCAATGGCAGAGAGATAGAGGAATGCAAGACCAGCACGTGGGAGCAGAGACAACGTCAGTGTCTGTGGCTGGGGACAGAGGACTGTGGCAGATGTTGCTGGAGATAACCATTGACGGTAAGAGTTTTGACTGGCGTGTGAAGGGGCCCGGGGCGCCTGGCCTGCACGTGGCTGTGTTTAGTTAGAATGGTCCAGGTGATGTTTCAGTGACAGGTTGACTCTAGACCTCAGCACCTAGTCCAACAGGGTTGATTCTCACTATGGCTAATGTCTAATGCTGGCCGGGGTTGGTGTGTGTGGCCAGGTGAGCAGTGTTGGGCTTGGCAGCTCTGCCAAGGCTGAAGAAGGGGAGCCAGGCTGTGGAAGGTGATGCCATCCTGTGACATTGTCATCTCAAGGTGTGGCTTCAGGGGCCCCCAGTAGGGGGAAGGGAGGACCTCATGCCTGTTTTGCTGTGCTTTAGCAGACAAGTAACTCGGTTTGCTTCTGCTTGGAGCCTCATCACCAGAATGAGTCACATGGCCCCATACCTCCATGATGGAGAAGGTCTGAGATGGGACTGGGGGAATGCAGTGCGCCACCTTTGCCATAGTGACCGACAGATGTTGGGGACAGGCTTCATCAGGGGCATGAATATCCCAAAGTATTTTAAGCCAAGGAGTGTTATAATCAAACAGGTCTCCTGTGGGCCACCCTTGGTGACACCGTGGCTCTGGGACAGGCAGGCCTGCCTTTGGCTGGCATGGAGATCTGAGGCCCAGGGCTGCCCCAAAGTGTGGCAAGTACAGTCAAATTGCAGGATTTTCTGCCCAAAACATTTTTTTTTTTTCCTGCTGTGCCCCCATTGTGACCTGAGCAAAGGCCACTTCTCTCTGAAAGCTTCCGGGTGCCCTGGGTCTCTGACGTCCATCCAAGAGCAGCTGAAGAGTCAGGACTCTGCTCACAGCCCCTTTCTCATGCACACCCCCAGTTCCATATTGATCTGGTCCCCAAAGCCACCTGGCACAGTATGTAGGTGGAGAAGGTGGCGGTGGAGGTGGCTGCAGGCAGGAATGAAATCCTGACACTCCTTTCCCAGGCCCCCAACTGCAGGAGTGTGTGAGGTGGGGGCAACTTGTCACCCAAGATAAGAGCTGCCCTCCTATAGGGATGACAACCTGTTCATGGTCGTGACTCCCAGTCCACCAGGCCCACTCGAATCCTGGGGAGTGGCATCTGCCTGGACCATACCCAGAGATTTGCATTTAGTGGGATGCAACTGAGTGTCTGTAGGTAATTTTGATGGCAGCCAGCACACCTCAGCTCTGTGGGGCCTTTGCTTCATGATCTCCCTGTCCCTGTTGGTTGAGCAGCAGACTTCTTGCTCAGGTGATAGCTCCCTATGGCCAGGATACCAGTTCCCCTAACTGACAAGCTGAGGATGTACATCTGGTCAGGAAGAGAAGGTATCCAGGAAATGAAAGGCTTTATCATTGTCCCTGTTTATCTCTTTGGCCAAGGTATGGGGTCCGGAAGCCCCTCTCATGGTTTATGCTGCTCCCTTGTTTGGGAGACACAGACTGCTGTGGAATTCACATCCCACATAATCACTCCTCAGGGAGCACATTTTACATTTTGTGACACCTGAGTTTCAACTGGCAGTAAATGTGCACAGGGTACACCTGTCACCACAGGAGTGGCACTCCGGAGCCAGCCACAATCCAGTTCCTGCCTGCACACAGCATCATGCCTCCTGGAGGGCGTATTCCTGCAGGGTCTGCTGTGGTGCTATGGCAGTGCCTGTGACCTCTTGGTGTCAGGGTGGTCCCTGTGCCCTCTCCCCAGCCTTGGGAGACCCCACACTTTCAGCCTGCCCTCCACTGGGGAGTGCCCATGAGAACAAAAAATGCAGTGGGGAGTGGGGTGCCCCAGGCTGGTCTTTGCTATCCTCACTCCACAGAGGCTGTGCCTAGGCTTGGGCGGCAGGTTTGTACAGGTACAGTGAGTGCAGGTGAGAGCTGGTGGCAGCAGACAAGGCAGGGCAGGCCTCTTGGCTGTTTCCAGCACAAGGAGCAGAAGGGAATGAAGTCTTTCCCTGAACTTCTTGCCCCTCTGCCTGACCCCTGGGTGGCTCCTGGTCTGGGCACAGGTGCTCTAGCCCTGCCCCAGTGGGTCATGGCTGTCCCTTGAGGGAGTGGAGCTCCAGAGAAGCACCGAGCAGCACAGGTCAACAACCGACCTCTGCAGGGGCACTGTGACCGCTTGGCTGACTGGCTTTCCAAAGCCATCTCGAATATCTGGCCCCATCACTTACTCATGCTAACCTGAGAGAAGCACCGAGCAGCACAGGTCAACAACCGACCTCTGCAGGGGCACTGTGACCGTTTGGCTGACTGGCTTTCCAAAGCCATCTCGATATCTGGCCCCATCACTGACTCATGCTAACCTACACTCAGCTAGCCCTTCACGGTCTTTGTTTCCACAAACAGCCATGCATCTAGGAACTTGTGAGTTGCCCATTGCACCTCTCCCCACGGCCTGCTGTAGGTGCTCCCCCCACGGGCCTTGTTCAGTCCTGACTATGCCCTGCCCCATCTTGTGCAGAAGGGCTGAGCAGGGACAGGCAGCTGGCCACCTGGAATTCCCCTGAAGACTACAGGTACCATTCCTCCCCCCAGGCATTACCCACCTCAGTCTCCCAGTCAGGCTGCATGGGCTCCTCTGTCCAGCCTACCCCACCCCCAGCCTTCACTGCAAGGGGCTTCCATGCCTGTACCCGGTGTTCTCCCTGCACTGACTCAAGGGGACAAGGGTGGGGGTCACTTTGTCCAGCTGCGATGTAAGACCCAGCTAAGACTCTGGCATGGATGTGCCCAGGAGGGGATTTGGGGTCAGCCCGTGTCCTGAGTCTTGTCAGCCATCCTGCTAGGAGCCCTCAGGAGAAAGGAAGGATGCCTGGCACTTCCATGGGGGACCGCCAACACCTCCCCTTGCACCTCCTTTCTGCCTGTCCGGGCCCTGTCTGCCCCACTCTGACCACTTCTGACAAAGGGGCCTGCTGAGGCCCAGCCTGCCCTATGAGAGCCACACCTGCTTGCTGTGGTTGTCACAGGAGCTCTCCAGCACATCCCGTGGCTTTGGGCTGCACCAGTCCTTATTGCTTGTCGAGGCTCATGAAGCTGGATGCCTCCTCCTGTCCCATCCCACACCTCCCCTGCAGGTTCTGTCACACTGCCACTCACCACACCCTCAGATTTCAATTTAGAGATGCTCGCATCCATATTTGAGTCACATTCACTTTCAGACTCTCTGGTCCTGCAAAACTGTTTATCTTTCCATGTTTTGAAATCTGATTTCCTCAATTCAGGAAGACATTTATGGAGAATACTCTGTGCCAGAGTCTCTGCTGGGGCTGTGATGCTGGACGGGGCGGATCCCCCTTGTGGCCTACACCAGGGGAGTCCTTGGCTGAGCACAAGAGAAGGTTCAGCGCATGCCAGAGGCAGAGTCAAAAAGAGAGTCTATTAGAAAAGGGGTGACGCTCCACAGACAGAGCGTGGTCTCCTCTCAGAGGCAGAGAGTGAGAGAGCCTGAGAGAGACTCAGAGACAGAGAGACAGAGACAGGGACAGAGAAAAACACTGAGAGGGACTGAGAAAAGACTGTGAGAGGGACCCTGAGTGTTCAGTTTATGTATCGATCTTTAGCTCCTGTGAATTACACTTTAAAGACTTTGCTCACTCACTTCCTTGATGGCATGGGCCTACAGTGTGAAAGGTAGACTCTCTGGTGTGGAAGGCCTGCAGGCAGTTCCCAGCCTTTGGTCTATGGGTTCCCCACAGAAGGATTGTGTTTATTTTGTGTAGGGCGACTTAAAGACTCTGTTTTCCTGCTTTTCCTTCAGGGTATGGGAAATGGGTTGTTAGCAATCCCAGCAATCTTCCTTTGTTCCACAGGTGTCCTCAGTGGCCAACTGCAGTGCTGACCAGTACGTTGCAGTCTCTGGGTGTAGCTGATTTGCCTTTTAGTTCTCTTGCCCCTTCCCTACATCAGCTGGAGGGCGAATGTGGTGCAAATCTGTACATGGGGTGCTCAGAGGCGGGCACAGGTAATATGGAGGCAGCCTGAAGAGAACCCTTACTCTGCCAGGGAAACAGGAGCCTCTCGGGAAAAGGAGGCCATGGAGCCAAGTCTTAAAGGATGAGTAGGAATGGGGGATGAGTAGAAATGGGGCGAAAGAGGAGGAGAGGTGGAGAATGGGGATCGTGTGGGCAGGAAAGGACAAGGGGAGTGTGACAGTGAGCGAGCACTGCAGGACATAGCCAGGGGACTGAAAGGACCCAGTGGCAAAGGCCCTGTTGGGACAGGTGACGGCTTTCACTCTTATCCTGAGGAGAGTATAGGGCTGCTGGAGGCTTTGACACCCAAGAGTCCCACTGTCCACCCTGCACTTTCCATGGTCCATGCTGGTGACATGCTCAAGATGTGGCACAAAAGGACATAGCAGAGCAGCTGGGTGCGGGAGTGAGCGACAATAAGTCAGGGGTGGTTCTGGGTGCACAGTGGTGAAATCCTCCAAAATATCCCACCGAGGTGACCTATAACCCCTTCCTGGACTTCTCACCCAGAGCTTGTCAGTATGACGCATGTTGGGCAGCCTGTGCATTTGGTGGCTTTTTGGAACAAGAGTTCTGCTCCCACGACTGTGACCAACCTTTTGGGTGTTACCTCCTGCTCAGACGACTGTCCCTCCATACCCACTTCTCGCCATGGTCCTAGCAGCCGTGACTACACCCTATAAGGCTGTCGCAGAGGGCTGGACTGTGGCGGCCCAAGGGGCACTGCCTCTGATTGTGGCCGTCAGTTTTTCCAGCCAGAATTTAGAATGTGGCCTGCGGTGCTACGAGCTTGGAGACAGTCGACCCAGGAGAATAGGTCAACTCAGACTGGCAGAATTCCCGCCCTGCCCTGCTGGACAGTGCGTGGTGTGGGGGTGGCGGGAAGCAGGGAGTGTGGCCTACAGAGACAACTGAGACGCAGCAGTGGGCACACGCTCAATCGCTCAGTCGGGCTCTGAGCCCCTGGGGTTCCACCTTCCATGCCTGGATCCTCAAATGCCTCCCAACCCTCCAGTAAATTCTCAATTTTCAGATCCTTCAGTGGCCTCAGTGCTGTTTGCTTCTTGCCACCAAGAGTACTGACTGTAGCAACACCGTGCTGTGGCCTCAGTATTCTGACAAACGGGGCTTGTCCCTTGCGTTAGGTTGCGACCTGTTCCCACGGTGCAGTGTGGACACCTGAGGCCAGCAATAAGGGCCAGCCCCCTAGTCTGCTATTTCTCTGAGAACAGCTGGATATCTCCTCTCTGTTCCCACCTGGTGCCCTCTGGCCCAACTGCTCTCTGAAGGGCAGAGGCCCTCTCCTTGGCCAGGTCTCTACCTCCACACTCCCCTCCCCCACCTCAGGGCTGTGGGGTTTGGGGACCCTCAAACTTCTGAGAATGAGTGAATCAGGAGTTGGGAAAGTAGGCCTAGGAAGTATTCCCAAGGTAACAAGGGCTAGCTGAGCCCAGGTCAATCAAAGATTTCCAGGGCAGAGGACCCCAGGGGGTAGCAGGAGGAAGGGACACACAGGTATGCCCACAAAGGGAATGAATGGAGAAGGAGGCAGGACAGGGTCACTCTTGGAGCCCCTCCTCCACTCCAGGAAGCCCTCCATCCTGCTGTGAACCAGCCCAGCCCCCACAGCCCACTTGCTCAGCCCTCTTAGGACTTCAATTATTCTAGAGGTTTCCTCTCTGCCTCTGCCCAGCACCCAAGGCTGCCCTGAGCCTCACCTGCTCTCCGAGGTGAGGGTCGGGGAGGGGAGGAGTCAGCTGACTGGCCACAGTCTTAGATAGATTGTTCCATCAAAATCCTGTCCCCGGAGGAAGGTCTTGGCTTGGCCACTGACTAGTAAAGTCTCTTCCTCCTGCCTCACAGTGCTTACCTGTCAAGTAGGCAGATTCAGTGTCTTCATCAACCCTACTGCCCCTTGGCCAAGAAGGAGACTTGGTACATTTGTTTATTTCTTGGGGAAATCCTATCTTCCAAGTACAGTGCTTTTATTATAAATATTTACGAAAACAATAGCAGTGGCCACTGATTGGCTTAATCACTCTAGTTGGAAAGAGAGAGAGGAAGTGGGAGACAGGGCTTGGGGGCCTGGGCTGCTCATGACCCAAACTCTCAAGGGTTTCTAGTGTTCCTCAGAGAGCTGGGACCTAAACTCCCTACCCACTGTGCACCCAGGTCAGAACGTAGAGAAAGCTGAAGTGGCAGCTACTAATTGCACCACAGGTGGATTCGACCCAGCTGGGAAAGGGCTGTTTCCAGGCTGCTGGTGGCATAGCTTAAGTCAGGAAGAGGGGCAACAAGAAGGCTCTAGGGAGACCAGTCCTTCCTGGGGGCAGCCTCTAGGGGCAGGGGCCCTAGTACAGATGCTGGGCTCAGGAGTCGGCTGGGAAAGGTGAGCATTGGCACAGCCTGCATTTAGCTTTTTGGCACAGTCACAGGGCAGAGTGGTCGGGGTGTCCTGCCACAGACTGGCGTTGGGCTTCCAGGGGCAGCATGGCCCCAGACCCTCCCTGGACTGGAGAAGCCAGGACAGCCCCAGCCCATTCCTCAGAGTGGTCCTGGCCCTAATCTCTGAATCACTCTTTGATGAGGTTGTTTCCTGTCTGAGCCCTGTCTGTGCCTCTGGTTCCCCAGCTCTGAGAAGCGGATGGGGGCAGTGATGGGGAGGACAAGCATTCCACCACAGGCCCTGCCCTGACTCAGACCTGAGTAACCCCCACCCCCATTAGCTGACAAAAATCCCTGTGCAACTCACCCACCCTGCAGACCAGGGCAGTAGACCCAGCCCCTCCTTCCAAGGCTCCCTAGGGGAGGGGATGGCCGCCATGGAAACTCACAAACTCCTATTACTTCTTTGAACAGAAGTAACACCTGTTTACTGCAAAGAAATTAGGTAGTAGAGACAAGCAGAAGAGAATTAAAAACTACCCTCGATTTCACCTGGATTTACCCCAAGGTAAATGCTGTTCTACATCTTCACTCCCTGTGCTGTGTTGCAATCAGGGATCAGGATCAGCCATTTGCACTCATTAATGCACCAAGTATCTTTCAGGTCAAAAGAGCCATTTCCACAGCATTTTCTTTAATGACTGCCCTGCGCCATGTGAGATGCTCCTTTCACCAACACCTTCGTCGGCGAGGCCGTGGGGACTGGTCTTGGTATCATGCATGAAGTCGCCAGGATCACCCCATCACCTGCCATATTTCTCCAGGACCTGCTCAGCCGCAGGCGACCTCTCAGTCTTGGGCTCATAGCCATTTAGAAAACAGACCCGTGTAGACACATGTCCCTGCAGAGCCTCCATCAACCCTTTCAGCTGTGACTGGGTTCACCCTCCTCACGGACTGCTCCTGCCTGAGTGGCCCTGGAGAGCCATTCTGTACAAAGCTGGGTGGTCTCTCTGCCCAGACTGGACTGGCAGAGGGTAAAAGGCTTGTTGGAGGGGACACAGCAGGCCCCAGAGAGCTGGGGGAGGGGCCTGGTTCCTGGGCGTGTGAAACTGCTCTAGCCACCTTGGGCCAGGGCATGGGGGTGGGGGTCTGTTTTCCTAGCTGACAAAGTGGGCTGCTGGGGCTGGGCACTGAATACAGCACTTGAAGTTGGGCCACCCTAGGTGATGCAGAGCTACTGAGTGCCTCCCCGACACAATTCACAGTTCAGAGGGAGGCAGCCCTCCCAGGAAGACCTGCGGGGGAGGGGAGAGGGTTCCCAGGCCCCCACCCCTAGCTGATGAGGACCAGTCTGAGCAGGCCCTGCCCTCTACCCCAGGCCTCCGCCCTGCCCTTCCAGCGCTCTGGGCTGGCTCCCAGGTAGCTCTGGAGCCCAAACCCGTTGGGCCAGTTTTGAGAGAAGGGAGGAGGCTGGTGAAGGATGCACAGCTGGCTCCACGCTGCCCCCGCACTCTCTGCCGCCTAAGCTCTGCGTTTCCCCTGTCCTGCAGCCACTGGCGACCCCATGGAGCGTGCGCCAGGTCTCCTGGTGCCCCTCCTGGGCCTGGTGCTGGCCCTGGGCCTGCCAAAGGTGCCGGCCATGGACTGTGGGTCCCTCGGCCCGGCCGCACGCCTGACCTTCACGCCGGTGGCCCGAGCTCGGTGGCTGGCCCCTCGGGTGCGCGCGCCGGGGCCCCTGGACCCTCTGTATGGCACCGTGCGCCACTTCCTCTCCTCAGTGCAGCTCAACCCCTTCCCTGCCGGTGAGTGCACGCTGCCCCAGGAGGGCCTTGGGAGGGACCGGTCCTGGCCAGCACCCTTGTCTCCCTCCGTCTGGGGCGCTTGGAGGACAGGGTTCTCAGTGTTCCCTATCCCCATCTTCCTGCCCCCTACCCATCTTCCTGTCCGGAAGCATCACCAGGAGGCCCCTTCAAGACCTTCTTGTGCAGTCTTGGCTGGCCCCCTCTCTGAGCCTCAGTTTTTCTGTCCTAAAATGGAAATTACATGAGAAGCTCTGAAAGACCTGGCTGACATTTTCTCTGGGTCTAGTGGTGCTGGGGTTGGGAGGACCAGGAAGGCTGCAGGGCCCCTCAGCCTGTCCCCTACCTGTTGAGGGGAAGGGCTGCTAGGCCAGGCTCTTCTGTGCCTTTAACCAGGCTGGTGGCTTCTGCCGCATGGCCCATCTGTAGGGCTGGGAGGAGGGGGAGGCCTGCCACAACTTCCTGTAGCAGGTCTGAGCATGATGGCATGGGGCTCTGGAGACACTGCCTTCTCTGAGGGGGCTGTGGTGGTGGGAGGAGCCCCTCCAGAGAACCTACCATCACCTGGCCACGGGGAGGACACTACCCCCAGCCCTCAGCCTGACTCTTTTTATAGAGCTGGTGAGGGCCCTGCTGAATGAGCCGGCCAAGGTGAAGGTGGACGAGGTAAGGCCAGGCAGGGCGAGGAGGGAGTGCAAGGCTGAGCCTGAGGGGCAGAAGTGGGAAGGCCCCCTCAGCTCAGCGTGCCAGGCTGGCTGTACCCCAGGGTGGGGTCTTGGGCATCCCTTTCCCTCTTCTCTGAGCACCACAGGTCACGGGGTGGGGGTGGTGGTGGGAGGGGGGCGGGTGTTGCAGTGAGCCGTGACCTCCCTGGAGGGCACTTTCCCCATTTTCAAGGTGGTAAACAACAGTGACACGTACCTCCCATGGGTTCAAGGACATACGTGACAGTGCCCGCCATGTGCATCCCTTGCTTCTGGTTGCGCTCTGGTGCCCAGTCAGCCCGTGGGGTCAGCACCGCCCCCCTGCCTTGCCACCCTGTGCAGGTGGTGAGGTACGAGGCAGGCTACGTGGTGTGTGCTGTCATCGCGGGCCTCTACCTCCTGCTGGTGCCCACTGCCGGACTCTGTTTCTATTGTTGCCGTGGCCACCGGCGCTGTGGGGCCCGAGCGAAGATGGAGCACAAGGAGGTGGCCTGTGAGCGTGGCTTGTTCATGACTTTTCTGCTGCTGACCACCCTCGTGCTGCTGTGAGGGGCGCCCAGGTCAGGAGGGAGTGGGGGTGAGGTCGAGGTGCCCATGGGTATACAATAAGTCCCTTCCTCCGCCCCTATCCCGCAGGGTTGGCATTGTCTGTGCCTTTGTCACCAACCAGCACGTGCATGAGCAGACGGGCCCTAGTGTTGAGGCTGTGCCTGAGACACTGCTCAGCCTCCAGGGCCTGGTCTCTGATGTCCCCCAGGTGAGCATGCACCCCTATGAGCACCAGGCCCAGGCAGGACAGAGCACCTAAGGGGGCCCGGGAAGGCTGGGGAAGGAGTGGGAGTGGGGCTGTCAGGTGATGG